TAAAATAAAATAAAATAAAAGACATCTCCATGTGTGCTCTCCCAGAGTCTATTTGCTCTGCTTGGAGATTTACAACCCAGGTGGCTGCAAAAGGCCTATTCCCGGGCTCCCCTGATTTCCCTTTGGGGTCCTCAGTAGGAGACACTGGTGGGAGGTTGGACGAGGGAAGGAACAGAGGCCAGAAGACGTGGTAAAGCAAAGGCAGCTTATCCTAGTTTGTCTCACCACCTCTTTGGGGGGATGTTTTAAAATTTTTTGTACCTGTGCATACAAATGTGTGCCCTGATTAAGTTCTCTGCTAGATATGCTTACATTGCCTAGTTTTTGCCAAATTAGACCCTTGCTGGTATACTGCATCATTTTCTATTTGGTACAGTTATAAAACAAAGAGAATGCTATTAGTATGCTGTATCCAGGTTTCAGCTAGAATTCCAACATCTTTGATGTCCTTGTGTATAAATATGGGGCGGGGTGGTAGTAAGATTCTGACTGGATTATAAAACTCATAGATAGGTGAAGTTTATTAATGTTTGTATCACCCTGATGAGAGGACCATAGAAGTTGGCCAGAAGACCCTGGGCCTTGACAATGTCCTTACACTATTACCAAAGATTTAGACCAAGACAGAGAAAGCAGCTTTATTGAATATGGCTACAATACAAAGCTAAAATGATAAATTCATTTCTTTTTTGTTTCATTTTGTTTTGCGGGCAAACCCAGTAATGTTCAGGGCCTATTCTTGACTCTGTGCTCAGGGATTACTCTGGGTGGGCTCAAGGGACTGCATATGGTACCAGGAATCCAACCTGGGCTGACCTCGTGCAAGACAAGTTCCATACCCACTCTGCTGTTTCTCTGGCCCCTAATTCCAACTTTGAAAGGATAAACTTCGCAACAGAATCTTGTATCAGGTAGCGGGGAAATGCATTTTAATAATACAGAATTAGAGAAACCAACTTTTATGGCATACTCAAGTAAGCAAAGAAATCCAGGCTTATAGACAAATACCAGATGAGCTCACTAATCTGGGTAGAGAAACAAGAAGAAGGTTTCAAAGGATGACAAGCCCTTTGCCTTGAATTACAGAGCTGAGAATGCCACGTAAGACTGGCAAAGTGTTTGTGGTGGGGGGGAAGGTGCTTGGGGGTGTGAGTGATAAGGTGAAGGTAGTAATATAAGGACATAAGGACATTAGTTAAGGATCTTGGGAACTTTGGTGGTGATGAAATGATGTAACTGTGGTCATAAAAAACTTAAAACATTAAGTGTTTTAACACTGTGAATATGTGACCTAAACTATAATAATTCAGTGGGGAAAAATACTTTGCCAAGGAAATGGGTTTGGTGGCATGGGTGGGGACCTCAAGAAATTGGTAGAGGGACATGGACACAGTGGTGGGTGTGGAGTTTTGAAGCATTGTACCCTGGAAATTCTATTACTAACAGTGTTGTAAATTATGGTGCCAACATAAAAATTGGGAAGGAAAAAAGACCCAGCTAAAAGCCAGTAAAAACAAAAAAATTTAATTAAAAAGCCAACTCAGGGTTTTTATTAACCACACAACAGTGCAAACCAGAACAAGGATTTGTTTTCACAAAAATAAAGGAGGGCATTATTTTTGAAACTCATTAGAAGGCAAATAATGCCCTGAGTGACAAATATGCCTCTTCTCTAGAGTATCACAAGAAGGTTAGCTTATAAATTGTAGCATCTGTGCTCTTTAGCTCTTGTAAAACTAATATATCATATACAAGTTGCATATGTTCCCTTTTGCCTTATGACACAGAAGGGAATTCTTCCTTGTACAGATTCAAGTCTCAAGTACGAAGCTCACTGTGTAGGCTTGGACAAGTTATGGTACTTGATGAGAAAGCCAGGTATTTCAATAAAGCTCCTTTTTCTCCGGGCCATCATAGTACATCTAGCTATATAAGAAAGATCCAGCTTTTGAAAAGTAAGAAACACTTTCTATGACCTGTGGCATTAAGCTCATGATGCGAACATAGTCTGTCCTCCAGGACTTGAAAATTTGTCACATGAGAGAAAGTAGATTAATATTTGTGCTTTTCAGAACAGTTGAGACAGGCAAGATGAAAAGTTTTGCTCAGTACTTTAATTTTTTTTAGTAGAACTACCTGTAATAGAGTAGTATGCTTACTATCTTTGAGGTGGTAACTCTCAAATCTATTAATAAGATGAATTCCTACATTAAAAGAAGATTAAATTAGATAATATGGGCTCCGGTTTCTCTTCAGTCCACATAAATTAGATAATCTCAAAATTGATACCCAACTGAGAGTCTGACTTGTATTTATTTTAGTTTTTGATTAGTGAGATTTATGATTTGTAGTTTTGGGCTTGGTTTTACTTACTTTAATGAAAATTTTACTTCCAGCAATATCATTGAGTATAAACACACACACACACACACACACACACACACACACGCGCACACACACAATTTAGAATTAACATACTCTATTTGTAAAAAAACTTTTAAGAGCCTGAAATAAGGAAATAAAGCATGGCTTGTGCTCAGTATAATTACCTTCACAAGAAATATTATGCTATTTCCCAGATTATGTCCCCAAAGTGAATGTCTGATTTGTTCCATTTCATTCGTAGCTGTAGAATCCTAACAAGGGTGATGAGGAAAATCATTTTGCAGTATATTGAAGAAGAGAATAGAGTTTGCAAAATATTATTAAGTTTGCTAAGAGGAACCTGTGCAAATACAGTCTGTTGGCATACCACCATAAAACCCAGTGCCTATATGGTAAAAGGTCTTTGAAATGACTTATTAAAGGCCACCAGATTGATAGTGACTGAAAAACCATAGAATTTACTTTGAGGATGTCTTTCTGGCCTTCTCAGATTTACATGCTCTCTTATTATGTTCTCTCTTCCCACATGGGTTAAGATATTAGAGAAAGGGAGATAAAAATTACTTCAAAATTGATAGAAAAATAGCAGACTCTCCCGTCAGAGTAGAGCACGTATGAAGATTAAATGTATGAAGGCTCAAAATTAACATAACATTTAGCTTTGATCTTATTTCTAGTTGGATTTAATAAAGAGAAGTTCTGTCTTCATAAGAACTTGATGAGGTTTAAAAGTTAACTCAGAGGCTTTCCTGAAAAAGATATCTGTGTTATGAATCTATAATTTTTCAGATCTTCCCTGTCAAAGTCAAAGTCTGGGTGCTCTTGTCTTGCTCATTTTATTTTAAATGCACTGTCTGCCTACTACCCGCTCCCCAGCACTCTTTTTTCAGTTTCTTCTCAGACTTACTAATCATAACATAATTCACATAGATATGAGATTCATTGAAAGTACTAAGGGGGAAAGTGAGGTGAAAGCATCTATGCTTAATTCAATGTATTATCCATTTAAAAATGAATTTTACAGATATTAATGATCTCTGACAACTTGCCATTTGATAAAATGATTTTTTTAATGAATTTATTTCTTATTCATGTACTTGATTTGGGGGCTGGGCAAGGCCCAGTTTTCTTTTCCCTCTTTTAAGTTGCTAATGAAAAATAGTTAGTGTTATATAGAGTTAGCGTTAAGAACTCCTGTGCTGCCCTTTGCCTGATCAGCATTGTCAGCCTCCTGATAAAGCCTCCTCAAAGATAGACTTGGGACCTAATTGATCAGGGACCATTAGTTCGATGCTAGGGCCCTAGGATTGGCCTGGGCACTGCGGTGCAGGGGCCACCAAGGACACCCTGGCTGAGCTCCAAAAGCAATGCAGTATGAGATTTTGAATTCAGGAGCTAGTACTTATATTGATACTTACTGGTACCTCCCATGGCCCCAGACTCTATGCCTTCTACTTGGAACCATGCAGTGAGCATTTAAATAACATCCCAGGTATCGAAAATGAATTTTACAACAAACTATAATTTCCCCTTCTACAAAACTGCTTCAGATTGCTGCTTTGCTATCACCTGAGAGTTGGAAGGGAAGACAGCAAATTTCTCCTTTAATGTCTTAATTCTGAGAATTAAAAAACTTAACCAAATTGCTGCCAGATGTGTTTTGGTATTCAGAATTTTTCAGAAAATGATACAGAATATCTATCTTACACTGTGCAATTAATTCCCCTAGTGCTTATGCAAATGAATGAAGATTCTGATAGTAAAAGCATGCAAGTCACTTTAAATGAGGTAAATTAAGACTTAAAAAAAAATCACACAGTTTCATAGTCCATCTGGTCAGAATTGAAAACAAAATCAGCCTAAACTTTGTTATAAGATAAGTTTAAACACACTCACTATTGGGTTTTCTGTTTATGTGGGTTTTTAGTAACCTGTCAGCATGTATGAACCCATAATGTTTTGTTAATTAACCAAAACCATCTGTAATTGTGCAGTGATTCATCTTATCATTTCTAATTTAAAGTGGGTAGATGGTAATTGTTCCTATTTTCCTCATTTACTAAAAAAAAAAAAAGAAAAAAAAGTAAAGGCAAACATCTGAACAGTTTTAGAGTGATTTACTAAGAACTTCCATAAATCATCATCTCACTTAGAACTCACAGAGTCCTTTTTGACAACTATTCACTATTCTTACCATCTTCATTTTACAAAGATGACAGAAGATTGAGGAGTGAAATGACTCATCTTAGGTACAAAGTTAGCAAGTAACAAAACTAACACTCAAAATCAGGTCTTTTAACTCTGAATCTCATCCTTCTCCCTCCAAGCCTTGTTTTTACTTCACCATTTTATCAAATACAAACAAGTTTCATGAAGAGTTTTTGATGAGGCTGAAAGAAGAGAATTCTGGTATGTGCTTATTTAGAATTGGATGCATTTATCATAATATGTAAATCTTTTATTAATTGAGTCATTTGAATTAGTTTGGCAGAAGTGGGATAATTTAATGTTTTAGCATTTTGATTTTTTGGAAATAATTTAGAAGTTTAAATTAATTTCAATTATAGAATAATAAGGACATTTTTTCTTCTCTTATTTTTATTAAAACTGTTTAGATGTGCCTGGCATCAGAAGGAGTGAAAATGGAAGAATCAAAGCTAATAAAGGCAAAAGACCCAGATAGTGGAAGGATGAAGGAATTGGAGAAGGGAAGGGAAGAAAGAGAAATAAAAATGGAGAGAACAGATGAAATCAGGTTACAGAAGGAAGCAGAATTTGAAAAATTGGCTAGAGAAAATATAAGAGATTCAAAGGAAGTGAGAAATTTTGAAGAGTTACACATGGATGATATAATGCCTATTAAAATGGAAAATCTCAAAGAAATTAAGAAAGAAGAGTTCGAGGAAGATCAAAAATGTAGTCACTTTCCTGATTTTTCTTACTCTGCCAGTAGCAAGATAATAATAAGTGATGTTCCTAGTAGAAAGGATCATATGTGCCATCCTCATGGAATTATGATCATCGAGGATCCCACAGCATTAAACAAACCAGAAAAGCTAAAAAAGAAGAAGAAGAAAAGTAAAGTGGATCGACATGGAAATGATAAGTCCACACCCAAGAAGACCTGCAAAAAAAGGCAGTCTTCCGAGTCTGACATTGAGAGTGTCATATACACCATTGAAGCCGTGGCGAAGGGAGACTGGGGCATTGAAAAACTTGGAGAAACCCCTCGCAAGAAGGTTCGCACATCCTCTAGTGGCAAGGGAAGCATTTTGGATGCCAAGCCACCAAAGAAAAAAGTGAAATCGAGAGAGAAGAAAATGTCAAAGGAGAAATCCTCAGACACCACCAAAGAGTCAAGACCTCCAGATTTCATTAGTATTTCTACCAGCAAGAACATTTCTGGTGAGGTGCCAGAGGGTATAAAAGCAGAACCAATGACACCCACGGAAGATACTTTACTACCCAGCCTACCTGGACAGGCCAAGCCTGAAGACAGTGACTGTCACAGGAAAATAGAGACTTGTGGCTCCCGGAAATCCGAGAGGTCTTGCAAAGGTGCTCTTTATAAAACCCTAGTGTCAGAGGGCATGCTCACCTCTCTGCGAGCTAATGTGGACCGCGGTAAGTGACTACAGCAAATCTGAAAAGAATATGGACGCCTAGCAGGACTTCTGTTTTAGGTCTGCATTAAAAAGTACAGCTTGCCATGCAGTAGAACCTGGCTGGCCCTGGTTTGAATCTTGAAGCTATAATACTGCATATAATTCCCCAGCACCACCAGGAGTCAATCCTGAGCACAGAGCGGGGAATAATCAATCCCTGAGCACTGCTTGGTGCAACCCCAAAACAAATAGATACGTAAAAGAACAATATGCTGTTAAAATCAGTAAGACACTTGCCCCGGGGTGGGGGTAAAGGACCAGATAGGGTAGGGAAGGGAACACTGGCAGTGCAGAAGGGAGTTATCACTTGGTAGAGGAGAATAGGATGCTGCTAGAGGTGATGAAGTGATATACATGAAACCCTGTTAGTAACAGCACTGTAAACCACAGTGCCTAAAATTTTTTTAAAAGTACGTGCCATAGACACAGACTACTGGGTAGGTGGGAGGGAAACTGGGGACATTGGTAGAGAGAAGTGAACAATGGTGAAGGGATTGGTGTTAGGTCAGTGTATGCCTGAAACCTAGTCATGAAAAAAATCTGAAATACAGTGACTGAATTTTAAGATACCATTTTTTACATTTCTATGGTTCTTTATGATTTATAGTCCATATTATTTTACTGACATGTTTTCAAGCACCTTTGCAGAGAGTTTCTACTCATTTTGTGGGTAGTTCTCAAGATATATGTGTTTAAAGTAATTTAACCTTTTTTTTGTTAATTGACAAGGGCCTACTTTTTGCTCTGAAGAATCAGAAATGCATGCTTGGATCTTTTAATCAATCTTATAAACTGATGGGAAAAGTGTTTCCTGGGTCAAACAGATACATATTTATCAGAATCTCTTTTTTTTCTTTTTTTAATTTTTTGGGGGTTTTTTTGGTTCTTTTTTTGTTCTTTTTTTTATTTTCATTTATCAGAATCTTAATCTGTAAGGCTGCAGAAGGAAATAATCTAGCTTTCTCCATGAACCAAAACTTTATTTAAAGTAAAATATAAACAGTATCCAGAAACCAGTTAACATAATACCTAATCCATAGTACTTAATATAAATTTATCTCTTTGAACATATTGAATCTTGTTCGGGAAATACTTTGAACTAGAGATATGTGAATAATAGGTCAGACACTTCTGAATGAACATCCTTGGGAATGCGTAGCTCTCTAGAGATACCACTCCAGTAAGTCTTCAGTAAATTAGAATTAGTAATGCTCACAAAGGACTCCCATACCTGCAGCTGATACGCTAAGGTAATTCAAAAGCTCATTTCTGGAATCAAATAATACCTGTTATAAAAAGGCAACAGATCTCATAGATTGCAAGTCACTTTTTTTGCATTGACTTTATTTTTTATTTTTATTTGGTTTGGTGTGCCTTTTGACAACACTCAGCAGTCTGGTGGAACTTCTCCCAGCTCTTTACTTAATGGACTCCTGGTGGTATTTTGAGAACCGCGCAATGCAGGGATTAAACCTGGGCCTTCTGCATACAAAACATGATTTTAGCCCATTAAGCTCTCTCACCTGCCATGCATATTATTGTTGGGCTATCTTTCATTAAGCACTTTGAGGACTCTGAAATAGTTGTATATCACTTGCAAATAGATAGCATCATGCAAGTGATACCAGAGGAGTCAAATTGAAGCAACTCAGGAGATTTCTTTCCCATCCCAACTGACTAAGCACATCCTGTCTCTTGAATTTTCTTAGGCAAACGAAGCTCAGGAAAAGGAAACTCCTCTGATCATGAGGGGTGTTGGAATGAAGAAAGCTGGACATACAATCAAAGTGGAACCAGTGGGAGCAAGAAATTTAAGAAGACGAAATCTAAGGAAGATTCTCTCCTTGGGTATGTACCTGTCAGCACGGTCAGCACATTGCCCAGACCCCAAATAGAAATAGAATTTATAAGATAAGCATAAATCACTAATTCTAATTCACTTGGTACTTCGTGCAATCTTTCTGAGCACAGAAGAAAAACAAATTAAAGATGTATGATTTGTGTTTTTTACATGGCTGTGTGAATGACAGCACCATTCACATTATAGAATTGGCATAAAAAATATGGGTTATGGGATTGGAGAGAGAGTACAGTGGTTGGCTTGCATGCTGACAACTGGGTTCCAAAAATCAGCACCACAAATCGTTCCCCCAAGCCCTTCCAGGAGTGATCCCTGAGCACAGAGCTATCCTGAGCACTTCTGGGTATGACCCCAGAACAAGTAAATATTTAACTTAAGCCTGTGTTAAATTTAGGTTCATTGTATCATAGTCCTATGACAGTGCAAAATTTTGCATACTTTTAAACAAACTAATAGAGAATATAAAAATTATACTTATTTGTATTTAGTGTATTCTTTTCAAACTGGGTCGATGGGAATTACAAAAGTGTTCTCAAATGATGTAACCAAGTATGCAGGTACTTTTCCTCACCAACATGAAGGTTGGTTTGCTTTCATTTTTGTTGCTGTTATTGTTGCACCTTACCTACGGATCCAGACTATCCCTTTGAGCTCTATCCCTACCCACTGAATCTCTGTTCATAAGGACCACCCCTGAGGCACTGAAGGAGGTCCTGTATCACTCCCATCAATGCTTGACCCAGCATTGTCATCCTGAGGGTTCAGTGGTCCAACTAGAAAGCATGTGTGGTGACCAGGGGTTAGGGGTCACGGTCACGGGCCTCCCGTTGTTCGTCGATTTGCTCGAGCGGGCCCAGTAACGTCTCCATTGGAGACTTTGTTGTTACTGTGTTTGGCATATCGAATACGTCACGGGGAGCTTGCCAGGCTTTGCCGTGCAGGGAAGATACTCTCTGTAGCTTGCTGGGCTCTCCGAGAGGGGCGAGATACTCTCGGTGGCTTGCCGGGCTCTCCGAGAGGGGCAGAGGAATCGAACTCGGGTTGGCCATGTTCGCTGCATGTAAGGCTAACGCCCTACCCGCTGTGCTATCACTCCAGCCTGTGACCAGGGATAGCAGTGTAAAAGGGACACCAGGGCCACTAATGGTCCCTAGGCATATAATGGTGATCAGGGGTCACGAATTGCAGGGGTTCAAACTCATTGAATTTAGGCATGTTAGGAATATTCTTACAATTTTGGGGTCTGTATTCCCAGTCCCAAAGTACTGAATCCCATAACAAAATGTTCTAAGCATTCACAAGGACATGCTTTTCTATCTGATGTTTATTCTAGCGTTATATAAGTATGTTTACATTTGATCTCATATATATATATATATATTTTGTTTAGTATTTCTGAAGGTGTATATATGTATATTTATATTTATAAAGCAATGTAACAGATGTAACTTAAGGAAAATAATTTTTTACCTCTAACCTTGTTTTGTTGAAACTGTTTTATTGCTCTAAGAAAAAATGTATTTGAAGAGTCTTCTAACATAGAGAATATTCAGCTACCAATTATGTGCTCAAATATTGTATCAAACATTGCATCAAGATAACTATTCAGAATTATTTTCTTTTTGTGTTATACCAAGAATTCTTAGTGCCATTCTTATGTAAAGTACGTTAAGAGATCGGATACTTCATATTGGTGGGAGAAAGTACCTGCACATTTTCTTATACCATTTGAAAACCTTTGAGTCTTCTCAGCCCAATTTGAAGAGAATACAGTGAATAAAATAATATTTCATATACTCCATATTTTTCATGTGTATTTAAATATGGGCAGATTTACACATTATGTATTCAACTTATTCATAAATATTTTAATTATGTTTGTGGAATAATAAATTTTTCCATGGGAATTATAGTTCTCAAAAATCCAGTTAATTCTAAGACTCTTAGTCATCATAAAGTGGAAAAACGGAAATTATTTCTCATTATAATAAGTGTGCAATATTATTTGTATCAAGATCTATATAATTTTACATATTTCTGTTATAATTTAAAAATCCAACTTCATATTAGTGTTTCTCACATTATACACAATATTGTTAAAATCACATTTGTCATTGTTGATTGATACAAATGCACAACTTCTGGACAAGCAAAATAGCTTCTAGAAGTCATAGTGCCTGATGACTACACATCAAGCAAATGAGGTATCATTGCAGGCCATCCAAAATTCTAGGAGAACTGGGCAGACATTAAGGCTTCTCCACTGAAAGTTCTCTGATGCTTTGATTAGAACGCCACTGAAATTGTGAGAGATATTTTCACAAATCTCCTCTGAAACATAAGAAAAGTGAAAATGATTTTTTGAAAGTTTTGTCCCTAACAAGAGAGTTGTGTGAATTTATTTGATTCTCTGCAGGTGCTTTGTAAATTTGGGGGTTTTCCTCCTTCACCCACTGTTAGAATTGACCTATCAGAGTCAGACTCTCTGAATTGGCCTTGTTTATTTAGAACATGACAGCACCGTGTATGAGTGAAGAGAAATGCCAGTTCCCTCAGTCATCTCAGATGTATAATTTAGCATTTTAAACCTCTATATTGTAGAAAATGTGCTGTCTGTTTAGTTAAAAACTGTAGCTAAGAAAAATTCACTCACTTTTGGCAGTTCTGATTTTATATACTTTTTCACAAAAAAACATAGATGGTTATTCTAGCTGAAAAACGGAGAAGGGAGCCAAGGGGGCTCAAGGATCTTTATGAGTTAAATCTTGATTTTTTATGTTTTTCTTTTGGTTATTCAGCATATATGAAAAAATTGCCAATAATAGGTAGCTTTCAAATAGTCCCTTTTACTGTATAATAAGGTGACTCTCCTTTAATGTAAATTTTAAGTGAACAAGAACAAGAGACCGTGTTAAGAAAGGAACACTCTCCTACTCCTTTGATAGAGTGTAGTAATATCCATTCTCTTCACCATTCTGATTGTCATCTTGTTTCCTCCAACTTCTGTGCAGTCCTTCCAAACTAAGAAGTTTTAGGTGGTTACATCTTAAATCCAGCCCATTGATTAGCCTGGCACAGTGGCTTCTAAATTGGTATTCAAAGCTGCTCCCTTACCTGTTGGCCTTCCAAGCATACTCCTGCAGCTTCTCCTATCTATTTGGCTTGCATCTTAGTTCATAAGTCTTGTTCAGTGAAAGCCAGCAGCAATCTAGAATCCAGGAGGTGTGCTACCACTACTGCATTGGGGGCCATGGATACAGTTAAAAACAGCACAGAATGTCCTAATTATGCTGGTGGCATTTTCTTCAGTCATTTGTGGTTTGTTTTTAATGCAGCATTGCCTCAGATTCGATTGAAAACTGGTAATATTTATCTCATTGAATGATCCATCCTCATCCTAGGTAATTCTCCAGAATATTTCTAATATTTAAAAACAGGCTGTGGGAGGTGGCATAGAGAGATAGTACTGTTGGCATTACACTTTCCTTGCATGCAGTCAACTCGGCTTTATGGGGGCCCTGGACCCCATAAAGTCTCCTTAGCCTCACTAGAAGTAACCCCTAATTGTGGAGCCAGGAGTAAGCCCTGAGCACCAGATGTGAACAAAAAATGTTTTGCATTATGTGTAATTGTGTTATAAACAAGTCCCAGTCAACATATTAACAGCCAGGGAGATGACACAGAGGGCTAAAGCACACACTCTGCATGTGGGAACCCTAAATTCCATCACTAGCACCCACATGTTACCCTACTGGGAGCTACTCCCAAGCACCGTACTGGAAGTAGACTCTGAGCACCACTACATACAGCCCCAAACCAGGAAATTACTTATATATGATATTGCCGTTAAGTTTGCCAATGTGAATTCACAATGTAAATTATTTGAATAATACTTCTGGTTAGAATATCTTTAGTTTTGCTCTTTTTTTTTTAAAGCTGGGAGCTGGGGTGATGCAGGGAGAGCGGTGGTTTCTACCCAGCATTGCTTAGGCTTACTCCTAGGTCTTTGCTTAGAGATCACACCTAGGGGCTGGAACAATAGCACAGCGGTAGGGCATTTGCCTTGCACGTGGCCGAGCTGGGTTTGATTCCCAGCATCCCATATGGTCCCCCAAGCACCGCCAGGAGTGATTCCTGAGTGCAGAGCCAGGAGGAACCCCTTAGCATCAGCTGGGTGTGACCCAAAAAGAAAAAAGAAAAAAAAGAGAGATCACGCCTAGTGATGCTCAAGAGACCATCTGAGATACCAGGGATCAAACTGGGATTGATTTTATGCAAGGGAAGCACCATAACTCCCGTGCTTGCTCTCCACCCTACAAAGTGTTTTGCACTATGAAAAATTCATTAGTCAATGGAGAAAAAGGCAAATTCCACACCTCAGAAATGTGGAACACAAAAATTTTATATTTGTATTTTCTAAGGTAATAGCAAACTGCCATGTGAATTTATTAAGAAAACTTAAATTTTCTCAAGCATTTCTGAAAAGGCATCCTATCATGACATCTTATTATCTCATTCCTACTTTGACAAACTGGCAGGCTACCGAATGTAGCCTGCCCACACGGCAGAGTCTGGCAAACTCCCCGTGGCGTACCCAATATGCCAAATACCAGTAACAATGATGGGTCTCATTCTCCTACAGAGTCTTGAATATAATCTCAAGGCTAGGATGAAGGAGACGTTACTGGGGCCTGCTCGAGGCAATCGATCGACGATTCTGAAAAGGCATTTTTTGGCCTTGCACAGAACTTGTAACTGCACCATAATTCTCTGGGTTCTGTTTTGAATTGGATTATACTAAGATATGTCTTGTATCATTTCTGTTAAGTACTTAGATCATGTACTGATGGATTTCTGTCCCCTTTCCTTCCTCCTCTTATTAGCTCAGCAAAGCTGGATGAAGAATTTGAAAAAAAATTCAGCAACCTCCCTCAATATAGTCCCGTTACATTTGACCGTAAATGTGTATCTGTCTCAAGAAAAAAGAAGAAGACTGGAAACACGTCCTCAGAGCAAACTAAAACCAGCAAAGGTTAGCTATGTACCATACTTTACCACGCTTTGGTTGGAATCTCAGCTGAACCCTCTGTTTAGCTTTGTAGCTCCCTTTAGATATACAAACAGATTTAGAATTGAGGTAGGAGTGAGTTGGAAATGCAGGATGCTTTATCTTAGATTTTGTCTCATTTGTCTCTCCCTTTTTTTTCCCTTCCTAATCATCCACAGCCTCTGCCATTAGAATTTCAACCTATATACTTGCCTTTTTAAAGTTGTTACCCCTGATTTTGACCTTCTGCCACACAGAATTCTAATTTAGAATATTGAACTTTTCTTGAGCAAAAAGCTACTGGCTGAGGTTTATTCTTCTGTAACAGTGTCTGTGTGATGGGCGAGCCTTGGGAACTATGAAGTTTTACTACTTGCATATTAAGTTTACTCCATTACTTACTAGTAGAATGAACCAAAGGAAGATAAAAATTACCTGTAATACTTCAGTACATACATTTTTTTAATTTAGAAAAGTGCTGTATTTAATGTGTTTGGGTTCAGGAATACGAGATTGTTACCTATGGATATAAGGCAAATTTTTAATTTGTACAAAGTAGGTTGTGTAAACTCACACAAGAACACACACAGTGGCGGCGGTGGCTCTATCTCTCCCGCCGCCCGCGTTCGGTAGTCTCACCCTTCTCCCACCCTGGAGAGGTCGAGGGCGATGGTCAGGCGGAGGAAGGAACGAGGGGCAGGCTGGTAGGTATTAGTCGTAGTTTATTCTGATTCTCTCTTCATCTGTCTCTGCTCCCTTCTCCTTCTGTCTCTGCTCTCTCTGCCCCCTCTGTCTCTCTCTGCTCTACTTCTATCTCTGCTCCCGTCTCTGCTCCCTCCATGCTACTTCATTCTCCTTCTCCATCCCCCTTCATCCTTCTCTTCCTTCTGATCCTCTCTGAACCTCCAGCCCACTCCTACAGTCTAGTTAAATCCTCTCTCCATGAGGAATTGGGGAAACAATTACACATAGGTGCTGTCACAGTCAATAGGGGTAGAAATCAATAGGGGTAGAAATCTTAGCCTCAGGGAAGACCGCTCCTAGGACAGATCCTTCCTCAGCAGGAGGACCCACCCTGGAGCATAATCCCATGGGCGTGCCTCTCCTCTCCTTGTCCGACAAGCATATAAGAATATAATATAAATCATTTTGTATGGATACAGTAAGAAATATCTTAAACTTATAGAATTGCTCTCCTAGGACCATCTTGATCTCAGAATACGGTGCTCAGGCCAGATAGTCTTTCCCACCCCTAGCAGGATCCTAGTCTTGACATTACCTTTGGATCATGACAGCATTTGTCTATGATCAAACTCTTAACTTATAGTTAAGAATCGTGGCACTTTGGCCTGGCCCATTTCGCTGCCAGGGTAGCTCACCGCTTGCCCTGGGTCCATTCAGTCCCTCTTTTGGGGTGTTAGGAACTAAGGGCAACTGAGGCTTAAGTCGAGAAAGCAGATGCCCGGGAGTGAATAATATTCAAGGCCAATCAAATCCTAAATTACAAAGCATAATGTTAACAGTCTTCCTGTATCTATACAAAAAGGATATTACTTTAAAGTAAAATGTTCATAAGGCATAAGGAGAGGAGAAAGGCAATATTTCACTCATACATATAAAATCAAAGATTTCTGGGAAACTGATCTTACAAATTAACAAAGTCTGATTAAGGGGAAAACTGATTAACTGGGTGGGAAGGAGAGCATAGGGAAAACTGTTTACAGATAAAGGCAATGGAAGTGGAAGTGCTTCAGGAGCACTGTGATGGGTGTAACCAGATTGATGGGTGTAACCAGATAAATCTAAGCTTCTTGTGAAAGGACAAAGCAATGTTACCCAACAGTAGGTAGATTATGACAATTCATCAGGTAACATAATAGTTCAAAGAAGGGGTGGTCAGTGGTCTCGATATCCAGGTGGTTTTGTTCTGTTTTTTTTATTTGGGACCTATACCTGTTCTGTGCTCAGTACAGGCTGCACTCTGAGCATAGAAACTCAGAGATCTTGGCACTGCACTCAGGGATCACTCCTGTTTGAGGGGCCAAATGGGGTGCCAGGGATTAAACCCAGATTTGCCATGTGCAAAACAAAAGCACCTGACTTGCTGTACTATTGCTCTGGCCCCTCAAAGGATTTTCTGATCTAAATTAGCAATATTACTCCTCTTTTTTTTTCTTTTTTAAAGAATTTTGGCTTTTACTTTAGATCAAGACATCTGTGGTGAAACTGTAACTCTAACTTCCTATATAGATTGAAAAAACTTACTTTGGTTAGTTTTCATATAAGGCAGTGAACGGAGAGATGAACTGGTATGACTACGCTTTTGTTACTTTCAGGGTAAAATTCTAAGTAGAAGTTGATGGGACAGATTTTGTAATTGCCATGTGAAAGTGGCTGTTTGGTGGTTGTCATATGTCAAATTGTCTCATGTGTTTTATATTGAAATATAAGATGTACATACATAAATCTTGTTAAATTCTAAGAATCATGGATCAGAGGTAAATACTAATGAGGTAAAATTTTATAAACTTTAGGGGAGTGAAATGTATGTGTTGAGAAAATTATGGTTTCTTCTCTGAAGAAACCTAACCCTTCCTCCCATGAGACCCAAAAACTCTTTTGTAATAGTTAAAAGAACTGGGAGATAAATTTGAGATTTTTAAGCCAAATGGAATTTGAAAGACAAGAGAAAATATTCTCCCTTCATTTTGAAAGGCAAAGAATAGGAAACTGAGGGGCTGGAGCAATAGCACAGTGGGGAGGGCACTTGCCTTGCATGCGGCTGACCCTGGTACAATTCCAAGCATCCCATATGGTTCCCCGAGCACCGCCAGGAGTAATTCCTGAGTGCATGAGCCAGGAGTAACCCCTGTGTATCACTGGGTGTACCCAAAAAGCAAAAAAAAAGAAAAAAAAGAAAACTGATTTTAGAATTGATATGCTTTTCCTCTGTGATTATTAAAAATAAGTTTTGTAATAACATTTTTCAAGTTGGATCTACAAGTTTGCTCATATTGAGAATAAAATGCAGTCATGTAAAGTAGAAGTTGGAAAGAGAGTAGCTTTTGACAGGTAGGTACCTGAGCTCCACGATATATGATCAAATGAAATGACAGTTTCTGTATCCTAGAGAGTGAGAAATAGGCAAGGTAGTTCATAAGGCCAAGAATGCCAGGTTTCTTATACTCTTGTAATTCTTGGGCTTAAAGTTGTTGATGAAATACCTGACAAGCCAATAAAATGGAATTTGAATGATGTGTAGGATGTACTCTCCCTCGCCACTTGTTAGAGCTATTCTAGACATTCACTTCAAACTCTGAAGTTGGCCATATTACCTGGGAATGTAACAGTAGATTTATTTTTTTAAAGCTGTAAAACCCTGAAGTCAAGATCTCTTTTCCTTATATTTTCTCTTGGGTCTTAGCAGTGTCTTGGCATATTTTGCCTCTCCCAACTGAGATTAACAGTATGGCATATCGAATACTTCACAGGTCGCTTGCCAGGCTTTGCCATGAGGGCGAGATGTTCTCGGTAGTTTGCCAGGCTCTCCGAGAGGGGTGGAGGAATCGAACTTGGGTCAGCCATGTTGGCTGCATGTAAGGCAAATGCCCAACCCGCTGTACTATCGCTCCAGCCCATTGGAATAATCCATTTTTTTTTAATCTTTGAATTATTCCTCATACAATATCATCTTAACTTTCCCTTAATGCCTCTGAAACCACGAAGTCACTGGTTCTTAGTGTGTCCATAATTATATAGGTGGGAAGTCTTCCAAGACTTTAGTTTTTGCTCTACAATCTGACTCATGAAGCAGAATGCAATTAAAATAAAGCAGAAATTAGATAATATATTCTCTGTTTAGCAAACTAAAGAAATAGTATTTGTGACTGATTGTAATTCGGCATTAGCAGCACCAATGTACTATCCTACAAGTTATTAATGAAATTATCATACCAGCTGTGCTGTAATTGCCTGATCTTTAAAGAATAGGAGAGATTGTTTTCTTAGACTCTAGACCCTTTACACCTTTGCATAATGAATCATTCAAAGAAAACACTGTGTATGAGATTATTAGTTCGTTGGTAAAAGAGCATTTGCAAAGTGGTTCATTTTTCCTAAGGTAACTTGTCATCTTTCTGCATTTTATCCAGTACTTATCCTCATTCATTCAGTATTCAAAATATGCTTTTCCAGCCCTATACCAGGTTCCTTATTTTTACTTATTTCAGATTACATAAATTTTAAATATGATCTTTTTGACTTGAAATCTCTACAGGAAATGATTATGACTCCATATCTATACATAGAGTGAGATTTACATCTCAGAATGATAGCCTTGATTGAGTTTATACATCTGTTTTCTTGGTGGTTTCCTTTCCTATATCTGGATTTCCTTCCTGTTTGCCATCATCCCCTTCACTGGTTCTGCCTTGTCCCTTATGTCTGTATAATGGAGCTACAATGAAAAGGGAAGAAAATGAATCAATGCTACCTTTCTTTAATTGGGCTAGGATTGAGCATGTTGATTTACAGATAAAATGTCCTTTTGCTTCTAAGGACAAATTTTTCAGTACATTGAATTCATCTAAAAATTCCATTCCACTGAAATAGCCTATTTTATAGTATTTTTTAAATTTTTCTCACTTGCATATTTCAAATGCAAACTTTAAAAATTAATTCTAAGTTTAATTGATACCTTCGAAAAGATTTATTTTGACACTTTATTTAAGTATATAGCCAACATATGAAGTGTTTCTTTACAAGAGTAGTGAAAGTCAGAGTGTTCTGCAAAACAGTAATTTTCAAAGTAGGGTCATGGAGGGAGATAGGGTCTGTGTTCAATTACAGTGTTTAAATTATTCCTCATCTTGACCTTTAGCATTATTTCTTCCTCATTTCTTCTATCCTCTCCTTAGCCTTAGCTAATCATTCTATTCATCTTTCCCTGCTTTGTACTTAATCTTTTAAGACTGAAATTTTGATGA